TCGCTGTATTACTGACCTGCCCCAAAGCCCAGGGGGAGCACAGCCCCCCCCTTCCCCCACATCACACCCTCAAAGATGTAGAATCGCACCGTCGAGAGGCTGAGTGACTTGCCAGGTTTCACAGGAACTTTGCAGCAAAATCAGACAGCTGGATCTCAGTCTACTATTTTTATCAGAAGTATTCCTCTTCCAGTAACCCACTGCTATATTTATGGCATCTCTAGACTTTCACAGCAAGTGAAGCAAGGCTGTTATGCAGATCAGCCTCATTCATAATCCCGCATACAATAAGTAATGCAGAACGTTCTAACAAATTATTCAGCTCCCAGTAGGTGACACAGAGGTCTTGAAAAGAGGATATGCAGTTATACAGGTTATTCCTTAAACACACAGATGAACACATAGGAATCCGGGGAGGCAATTTCATGATCACAACATATTAACTGCTCTTCTGACCCTCCTGCTTGCCTGACACACTCTATTTATTTAAATAAAAGAAAGATTTTCTCACTTTCCCCACCAAAAAAAAATCGTAGATATCCCAAAATCCAGCCTGATTTATATTTGCACATTATCCTACATCAAGTTTCAACGAGACATCAAAGTGAGTGTGAGATAAGGGGAAAAGGACATGCTAAACACACACCTCTTATGAGTGCCATCCTCTCCATCCATCCTACCAACCCACCAGGCGCCAGTGGCACAGTTGGGAGCGTTGTCCTGCTGTTCCAGTGCTGGACCACACTGACCTGGGGGACTGAGACCATGTGTCAACCTGTTCCTACCGCTATTTTCAGAGAAGAACGTTTGACCTTGAGCAGGAACTAAATGCTGAGTGCAGGTTACCCTACTTGTGAGAAAACACATTTATTTTGGTTTAATTTTCTGGTTTGTTTTAAATACACAGGGTTGAATTTTGAAATAGGGATGAATAAATCCCTCCCTGTGACTGCCCAGTGAAAGGTGGCTCGTCGCTACGCTATGCACAGCCACCTTTCGCTTCCACGCCTGCCAGCAGTTTTGGGGTTTTTTTTCCCAGAAGAAAATACATTTAAATTTACTGTCTTCCTTATGGAAGTAATAAACAATTAAAGCCCCTATTCAAGGTAAACAAAAATATTCCAAACGAAGATGCAACTTCTGGAAGGTACAACCTGGATCTAAAACAATTATTAATAATCTCAAAATACAGCGGGCTGGAAGAATCATCTAACACTAGAGGTCATCCCTCAAGGGCTCCCATAGTCACTGAACTCAAGCACCTCTCCAACTGTAGCTCTTT